GACGACCGTCGGGCGGCGGACGACTGACAGTGGCCAATAGAGAGATGGCTAAAAACCAAGCCCTTTATACAAATCTAACAAATTTCAAATGAATTGAAAATGAACCGAGGAACAAATACACTGTAATTTTACTAGATAATTTGAAATTTATACCAGCAACCATCAAGATTTCTATAACTCCTGTTAATAAAATACAACATACACCTTTTTTTTTTCTAGCAAGTCAAACAGCTGATCATTCTCTCAAAATTCATTTAATTTATGCATAAAATTTAATTTTTATTCATTTAATTAATTTTGCCTATCAGATTCATTTGTAAGGCTGCAAAAATCATCTGCAAGGTTTCAATAAGATTGCCTAATTGCAAGTAGAGGTGTAAACGAGCCGAACACGAGTGGGCCAATGCTCAGCTTGTGTTTGGCTCGTTTGTTTAGCGAGTCAAACAAGAGCCGTTCACGAACAAAGAGTCGTTTTGATAAACCTAATCACATAGCCATAAGATGTTAATGATTGACAGCCATAAAATGTTAAGGATTGAGATAAGATTTAAAAATTATTGTTTATATTAAAACATCATTTGAATATAATTTAATAAGTTTTATTCTATTTTCTTAATTAACTTTTAATTGATTATAAATCTTTGTAGCCTTGTCGTCAATTAAATTTTCTAAAAATATTACTAATATATATATATATATATAATTCATGAGTAGGATTTTGAGCCAAAATGAGCCGAACACGAGCTTCTTAACAAGCCAAATACGAGTTGTTCGCGAACAGCGAGCCGTTTGATAGACCTAAATATGACTGATTATTTATGTAATTGTTTATTCATAATAAATTTATTATCACTTGGCAATGTAATCTCATGCATAGATTATTACATTTCATTAATTATTTCTTCCATTATTTGGCATGAGCGTAGGGGGTAAACGAGTCGAGTCGAGCTTCAGCTACCCTGGGCTGGCTTGAGTTTGTTTTTAATTAAGTGAGTTTAAGCCCGTGCTAGAGCTTAACTCTACATATTCGGGCGAGCTCGCCAGCCGTCTTTATTTAAGCTAGTGTTATAGTAAAATGACGAACAAAATAAATAGTTATGAGATAAATAATAGAAATCATTTGATATAAATTATTATTTTTGAAACATTTTTGATAATTTAATAAAATATAAATTTTAAAATTTAATATATTTTGAGTATATTTTATATTAATATACTTTTTTTTAAACTAGCCGGCCCACTAGCTAACAAGTCAATTTGGGGCTGGCTTGAGCTTGGTTTATTAGCTCATCCACCTCAACTCATAAGGCACCTATCGAGTCGAGCTCGAGCATGCTCCCGAGTCGGCTTGGCTTAATTACACCCCTACACGGGAGATTAACACATATAAAGTATAAGATAATTAGAAGAATGATGCATACAAATTTAATATCTAAAAATGATATAAATAAATATGTGAAATGTGAAATTTATTTTGAAGCTAAACAAACTAGAAAATAATTTAAATCTACTTTCCTTGAGCAAATGATTTATCAGACCCTGTTCATAATGATATTTGGCATTTAAATGAAAACTATTAATAATGAAATAGATTTAATCTTATCATGTACAACTTAGATAAATTATAATTTACACCTGGTTGTAAATTATCAGATGTAAATAGATTTTCAAATAAAAATTAAATTAATATGGATTTATATATAATAAAGTAAGATTAATAGCTAAAGAATATACATATAAATGTGACTATTTTGATGGTTTTTTTCATGTACAAAAATTATATAATACATTTAATTATTTATTAATCTTCAATATATCACATGGATATAAAAACTGCATTTTAAAATGATGATTTTGATGAAGAAATCTATATGGATCAACCTAAAGGTTTTATAGTAAAAGGTCAAAAAAATAAAGTTTTTGTATGTGCTAAATCAAGCTTCTACATAATAACATAAGAAGTTTGATAAAATAGTATTAGCATACATTTTTGTAATTAGTGAGTTTGATAAATGTGTTTATATTAAGACTATTGATAATAGTTGTATTATTTTATGTCTAAGGAATACAAATGTCATCCCTAATGTGCATATAGTTGTGCTCAACCACAATGAAAAGAAGGATGAGTTGTAGCTTTTAATGAGATCAAAGGTAAAATTTTAAGGGATATTGTAGTTGTAGTGTATCTTGGATATCTCACCTATGTAAGTGTTACAATAATAGATTACTTCAATGTACCCTAAAACACTTACTAATTGAGATTAATGTGCACGACGTGTAAAACGTACTTTGAAGAAGAACTTACGGTGTGTCTCATGCACAAAATGATACAATAATTTATATATCTAGTTCAAAACTTTGGTTACTATGGTTTTTGTTATTGTTAGCTTTTAATTATACTAAGTGAAGTTCAAATCCATAAGGTACTTTCACTGAATACATTATGTGTGAAAAGCTTCCAAAAGTGGTTTAATGGCTTGATCTATCTTGAATTGGACCGCTTTTGGTGTCGTTGGGTCCATCTCGTCGAGGTGATCAATTTGGCTACAAGTTTGTTGCGATCGGAGCTTGATAAATTTTAATAAATGTTTGAATATTTATTGCTCAATAATTTATTTTGAGATCAATGCCATACCTCGATATTCATGTTAGATTATAGAAATTTGTTTACGACATATCAATACTTTGAATTTCATGTACACTGAAGACAATAATTCCCGTTTAGTATAATTATATTTACAGCTTCCCAATAAACTATAATTAAATTATTTTTTTAACTGCAAATTAGTGTAATTAAAAATTTACAAAAGGATAAATCCCTCTTGTTTTACTTTAAGTAAATAAAAAAATAATAACTTAATAAAAATAATATTATTTCTATTTAAATCGATTATAAATATAGTTTAATTTAATTATATTAGTAAATTATCAAATAATGTACTTGATATAACATTTTATGCTAATTAGTGAATAATAAATAATAACTTAATGAATAATTAGCATTTAATAATTACTATAATTAAAAATGCAAAAAAAAATTATTTGAAATCAAAATGACTTTCATAATTATATAATCAACACTTAATATTAAAATTAAATTTGAACTACATATTTTAAAATTTTAAATTAATTGTCAAATACATTTTTGGAATTTGTTTAATTTTAATCTCATTCCTACGGAGCAAGTTTTTAACTCCTCTGTAGTTTATTATGCCAGATTTAGAGGATTTACTAAACCATCCTCCCTTGCAACCTAGCAGTCCCGTGCTTTTCAGGAATGGATCAAATGGCAATTTTTTATCGGCGCGCATTTGCAAGTTTTTAACTCCTCTGTAGTTTATTAAGCCAGATTTAGAGGATTTACTAAACCATCCTTCCTTGCGGCCTAGCAGTCCCGTGCTTTTCAGGGATGGATCAAATGGCAATTTTTTATCGGCGCGCATTTCGGTCTCGCCGATAGATCATTCCTCAGATGACAAACGTTGTCGCGGCGTCTTCGCTCCGACGTATTGATCGCCAGTTTTCATTTTCTTCTGTCGCAGCCGTCCATTATCGAGCAGAAGTAGCGGTTTCAGGTCAGTACCCATTTCTCGACCTTTCTAGGTCATAAATTTACTTAACTGGATTGTATTCTAGTGCTTGCTTGTGATTTGTTGGAATTAATGGGCTTTTAACCTAATGGGAGCAAAAAAGTGGAATTTTTTTGGCTTAATTATTGAAATGTGTTAGGCAATGTTGTGAAGCGGCTGACGTCATTCTGCCTGCCTTGAGAAGGGACCGTATTGATCAGGCTTTGCCCCAAGAGGTTACAATTGATGCTTCCATCTGCGGATCCACTGTCTCTGTCTTTGAACCGCGGCGAGGAATGGTGAGAGTTAGGGTTCTTTGCTTTGGAATATAAGGGAATTGGGGGTCGTAATTAAGACAATTGAAGTTTTCTTAAACAGTGCTGGAATGTCTGGTGGTTTGGTTGAGATCGTGTGCTTTCTGTATTTGGATGCATTTATATTGTGCTGAGAGAGAGATAAATAGGAAGTATTGGGCACGAGTTTTTGCCAATATACACCCCTTTTCATTTGCCGGTTAGTAGCTTGGATTGAGTTTAGCCAGTTTTTGGTCATGAATCACCTCATTATCATTGATAGTGGTGTATAGATGTAAAGGTAGGTATGGTAGCTGCTAGAGGAAGAGGAACCTAAGTGGAGGATGGCTCAGTAGTTGAGGAGGGAGAAAATAATGGCATGGTATCGTGAATTATTACATTTGTTGAAGTAAATAATGACTTAGTAAGGGGATTATAATATTGATAATAGTGATGAGATCAAGAGTACCCATGATAGACACACTGATATCATAGGGAGAGAATTTACCTTGCAAGGGAAACACTGGCACAAAGTGTGCATTTAAGTCTTCATTAGTACTAAAGCATTATTAGTAAGGTAAAGCTGAACTATTATTTCTTGATAAGCTTTTTAAATACTTGAAGAATTTCTAAGCAACAATGGAGTAAGTAAACCAAGGAACATGTGCAAAATCATCAATGAACTTGACAAAATACTAGAAGCTCAAATTAGTAAAAATATATTCAAATCCCAAATATCTTAATGAGCTAACTCAACAGGATGAGGATGACAACTTTTTGTATAAGATTGAAAGGATACATGGTAGTGTTTACCAAGGTTACAGGCACGACAAACAATTTTGGATACAAACGAAGAATCATTGACAAAATCTCAAAGTTTTTTGGGAGGAGAATTTCCAACTTCAACACTTCCATCAATTTCTAAGATTGTTGAATAAGCAATCATTTTACTGAGATATTATGATCGATCTGGAAGGAGTGCTAGTAGTACAAGAATAATCGATGAGAATGGAGGCCAAGAGGCATATTGGGCAACTGAGTAATACGAGGATAGTCGAATTTTGCTCTTGCTACAAAGCTGTTTAGCATTACCAAAATAAGAGCACGGAGGAAAGGGTTTCCCTTTATATCCACATTTAGTCTGTCCGGCCTCTCCAACTATCTCAATGCCCCATAGTGAGAAACAATCTAATAAAAAGTTGATGGGAGGAAGATGATAGCTCGATGAGCAGAAGAACATGGGAAGGAGTAGTTTTAAGATTGTGTGGGAATCATAAGATCTATTATTAGTTTAGATTGCATGTATTAAAAAAATAGATGAGGGCCATAGTGAAATTTAGTAATTAAGAATTTATTTTGTCTCTACTAGACTTTTGTTAGTGGTAAAAGATTTATATTGAAACAACTCCCACTTCCTCCAAATTTACTTTATTAATTTTTTTATTTATTTATATATATATATATATTGCAAAGGTAAGTTAGAGTAAAACTTATTGTACTATGGAGATATTACTTTTCTAGAAGTACAATTCAGAAAGTCTCACATTGCATTGATAGTCTCAAGAATCATGACAACATAGGCAATAAAGATTAAAGACTATTGAACATCAAAGTGAGAATGATATAATTAGATGCTTGCTATTTGAAGAACTTGACAATATCATCATGAGTTGAATGAGAAGTATTAAGATCAAAAAGTTTTTCATGAGAACCAATGTGAAAGTGAAAGACCTTCGACTATAGTGGTAATTGGTACAATTGAATGTGTAGAGGTAATAATAGAGGATTTTGTATAATGTAATGAAGATTGATATGACCTCTCGTATCATAGGGACTAAGACCTGCACAAGAAAAATTTCTTGACCAACTTCTAGGATGACAAGCTTTTGAGAGAAAATGAGGCAATAATGAACTAAATACCACATCAGAATCATAGAAATTGTTCATGGGTTTTATACGGGTTATAGAAAATAAACGAGGCTTCTTTTATTGTAATGAGTGAGTTTAAATGGGAAATTCATAATTAAATAGTTTATAATAGATCTTTTTGTGATATGCAATCTCTTGAGAAACTAAGAAGGTAAAATTGTGAAGTTTAACCTTGTATGGGATGGATTCAGCCAAAGAAAATAATACTCAGTACAATATGGATTAGATATTTGCAAATGGTTTCCGAGCCAGACCATCTTTAATATGATTTGTGGTTTTGGTCGAACCAAGCGGACTTGTTACTTCATGAATCCATAGAGGGTAGTTGGAAGAAGCCAGGGAGTTTTTGTCAGGTTGAGGCCCAGATAAGGAGCAGCTTTCACAGCTTATAAGATGACAAGCATCTAAGATAAAAGGGAGCAAGAATGAAACAAATCTCAAATTAAAAGAGGAAAGTATTTTGGGCTAATTAAGTGTTGAATTAAATATTCCAATTATGAAACAAATAATGGAGGATAATTGAAGTGTGGAGAGTGGAGTGAAGGAAGGAAACACCTTCTAGTGGGGATGCTTGAACATGTCCCTAATGATTATTTTATTGAAAAAGTTATCTAGTTCACTGAGAGGGAGGATCATCAAGCCATACCTAAATTGAAGAGTCGTCGAGCTAATTTTGATTCATCTTCAATCATATTTTATTACATGAGAGTACTACCTTTTATGTAATATTACATCATGGACAAAAAGGAGGAAAAGTTTAAATGCATAAAATTTCACATGAAAATATTTTGTTTGAATATTTGAACTTGCATAATCTTTTCTTCCTTAGATTTAGCCAAAATCTTGATGCTCTAAATTCCTAATTATTCCCCCAACTTCATAATTTGAACCTCTCACAAGGCATGGCCAAAAATTCAAACATTTCAAATGATTTTTGCCTTAAAAAATTTAATTATTAAATTTTCCCATGTGCTTAATTCTTTTATTATTGTTTGACACATACCTTGGTTGAAGTATTTGATTCGTCCTTATCCCATTGCTGCATTTATCACTTTACAGGTAAGCTTTTCTTTAAAAATTCAAAATTGAAATTGTTCCCAATGGTTTTTGCATAATTGCATGTTTTTTAACAGTTTCTTCTTGCACGACCAAATTTCCTTTTCCAAAATTAGAATTAATATTTAAAATTATTTACTTGTGTAAAATCTCTTTTTTGCCTGCTTTGACCAAAACTCTCATCAGTTGAGAGAGGATTGTGGTGCTTTATTTGTTTATACATATGGTTGGCCAAGATGTTATAGGAGATATTGAATTTTCTTCTTTTTCAAATTTGTAGGGATGACTATTAATTTTTGATGTAATAATTTAAAATTATTGCATTAAATTATTTCTTCATATGACAATTCTTTCACAAATAACTCATCAATGTAAAATGCAAAATAACTTGCGTAATATGATATAGATAATTAGATCTTTAAATATAATTTATAATATAATGTTCTATCATTAAGTCGTCACTTGCATGAATTATTCAACAATAAATTTATAGTTTTGGAATAAATTAAAAAAAAACTTTATGAATTTTATGGAATTTTTATTGAAAATGCAATTATTTTTAAGATCTTGTCCTGCATTAATACTCCCATTTTCTTGAAACTATTCTCTTGAAGAGTTAAAAGCATACACATGAATCCTTTTTCTCCATTGTGTCCTATTGAGTGTCATACTTTATTTAATTCTAATAGATTTAGATCACTTTTCATACAATGCTCGGTCCCTTTAAGTCTACCTCTAACTTTCTTACCATAAGTCAAATATAAGACATCTATTCTCCTAAAAAATTATCAGATAGTTTTCGTTTAATGTGACCAAACCATATAAGATGAATCTTTAATATTTTCTGCCATTGGATTCCACCAAACATTTCATGAATATATTCGTTTCACATTTTGTCTCTAACTGTAAAGTCACTCATCCACCTAAGCATTCTAATCTCAACAACACTTAATTTTTAGTTTTATGCTTCTCATGCTTCTCTTTTACAGGCCAACATTTTGCACCATAAAACATTGCATGTCTGAACACCATCTTATAAAATTCTCCTTTAAGTCTAAGTAGTACTTTTCTATCACATAATACGTATGATGCATTCCTCCACTTCAACCATTTAACTTGAATTCTACTAATAAACATCTCCATCTATGTCATCATCACTTTGAACAATAGATTCGAGATATCTAAAATGTCTACTCCTGTTAATGACTTGATCAGTCATTGTCACAACCTTGTCACTAGGCCTACTACTACTAAAATTACATTCAATGTGTTCAATTTTAGGTCTACCCAAATGAAAGCCTATAGACTTTAAATTTGACCTTCATAATTTAAGGTTTTTCTGAATGTTTTCCTTAGTTTTATCCACAAGAAGGGTGTCATCTACAAAAAACATACACCAAGGTCCATCCTTTTGTATATACCCATTAAGAATATTCATAACCAAAGAAAAATGATATGGACTTGAAGCCGATCCTTGATGTAATCCAATTGCAATAGTAAAATACTTTGTCAATTCTCCTTCTGTTCAAACACTAGTACCAACTCTAGTATACATATCTTTAACAACTTGAATATAAGTCCATATCAACCCCTTTTTTCTCTAGAACTCTCCATAGTAATTCGGTACTTTATCATAAGATTTTTTCTTAAATTAGCCATCTGTACTTTTTCATCAAACCTTTCAATAGATTCCATAGTAGACATGCCCAGTATAAATCCAATTTGATT